GTGCTGGGATTACATATGTTTGCACTAGGCATCCTCTTTTTATATGGATTTTGGGAACTTGAACTCAGGTCCTTACATTTATGCAATAAGTACCTTTACTCATTGAACCTTGGGTCTCATAGTGTGGATCACATATTAACTAAGCCTGCTTCCTTGCAATGCAAGTCATCATCTTCCTTTGCAAACCTTTGCTTTGTCTGGCAGGACCAAAGCTCCTTCAGATCCCCCCCACTTATACGGCTTATTCTGGTATTGATCAATCTCTTGCCTGAAAGATGATTTTGACTTAACATGCCTCTTTCTCCAATGCCTTCCCCTTCTCCTTGAAACCTAACATTCAGTCTCACTTCTCATCTGTTTCAGATGCTACCTCACCCACATAGCATGCTCTTAGGATGCATACTGTTAGGTTTCTTAGCCAGCATAAAGAGACACAATGCAGAAAGAGACCAGAGTATGACCTTCGACAGATGGGACTGTGTTTATTAGCACACACAGCAAGGGGCAGCCTCTCTCCCTCAGGAAATTGAGGAGTCTGCCAAGAAAAGAAGCTGACTGCAGCCCTTTGTAGGGGTGCAGTGAGGGGCTTGGAAATGAGGAGATTGCTGCAGCTGTCTCCCACAGTCTCCCCTCCCTGTCTTAGGAGCCAGGCTGTCTCAATAGACATCCTTTTTTATGCTAACCAAAGGCTGAGCAAGACCAACTATAATCTCATATGAACCTGTTGCAGGATGTTTGATCACACTGTGACACCCCTGAGACTGTGTTAATAAAGTTAACCTTGAATCAGGGGGTGGAGCCAGTGACAAGTTGGCAAGACTCAGTCATAGAGAATATAGAGGACCCAGGATACAGATAGGGAGGCACAGGAAGGAGTAGGGAGGGACTTGGGGATTCCAGGGCTTTTTGGACTTCCTTTTGGATCTGGAAAGTGTGGAGAGAAGATCAGCTGGTCACTCCTCCGCTGCTTCTTTGATCTATCGGGTTTTCACCCCAATATCTGACTCCTGAGTCTTTGTTGGTAATAGAACATAGATAATCTCAACAGGGACCCTGTTTTACAACCCAGACACACTCTTACAGTCATCGAGTGACTTTCTCACGTTCTGCTGTTGGTCAGGTTTCATTGGGAAGCCTGTGAGCAACCCTCTTCTGAGGCATTCTGACCCCTGCTCCTCCCTCATCACCGCTGCTGGCAGCTCTAAGAAGCTAGCATGGTTGGTGCTGCTAAGCCCTTAACCGCAGTTAGAGTGACCTCTGAGCGGGAGGGGATGAGGGACTAGAGTTAGACAGACTCCCTGGTAGGCAGACAGATAGGGAGAGGGGCCATGCCTAGGGAGTAAAGACGGTGAACTTCCAAGATGGCGGCTTCTTCCTCACCCTCTCAACCCAAGACAAAAGCTTGGACGCTTAAAACAAAGGCCTTGCAGGTTTTTTTCTCCTGCCAGTAAAGCCTCTACTGACAGGATGGCTTGGCAAGTTCAAGACCAGAGCTGGACATGTTTATGCAACAGCTGTGGACCGGTCACCCACCTGGTCATCCTCCAGACTGACCAACTCTAAATCAGGGAAATCCTTCAGACTTAAACCTTCCCAGCCCTCAGGGAGAGGCTGCGGCTTCTGCTTCCCGGCTCCCCTCTCTGCTCTGTGGAGGGTCTTTATCTCTGTGTGCCTCCTGTGTGTGTGTGTGTGTGTGTGTGTGTGTGTGTGTTTCCTACCCCTGATAAAAGCGTTTCAGAAACAGAAACGGAATGAAATAAAGGGAGGGGGTCATGAGTGCTCCTCAAGTGTGGAGAAGATTTTTATTGTGGACGTCAGGGAGAAAGCAGGCAGCGGGGAGAGTCCAGGCTGAACGTGGCCACACCCAGGTTTCTCTGAGAACTAACAAAAAACAAAAACTGGTGCTGTTTGGGGAAGTTTCGGAAGTGTCGTCTTGTTGGAAGAAGTGTGTCACAGGGCTGGCCTATGAGATTTCCCGAGTCTTATTGTTGGTTAAGTGGTGGATCGGTGGTGGGAGAGTCACGAGCCATAGTTACCTTTCTAGAGCTTTATTGAGAGAGAGAGAGAGAGAGAGAGAGAGAGAGAGAGAGAGAGAGAGAGAGAGAGAGAAGCCGGGAGGAGGGGGAAATACGGAAGGAGAGAGTGAGGAAAGAGAACACAGAGAGAGCACGCCCGCTTTTAGGCTGGGTCACAAGCTGGTGACATAATTAAGGACAGAATCCTTACACTTCCGCCATTGCCATTTCACTCTCTCTACTTCCTGCATGTGGTCCCAGAAGTGAGTCCTCAGCTTCCTGCTCCAGCTGCCACTTGCTGTCACACTTCCCCGCCATGATAGACTCTCACCCTCTGGAACTGTGAGTCTAAGTGACTCTTCCTTCTGCTGTAAGTTGCCCTGGTCACGGTGCTGTATCACACAACAGAAAGATAACTAGTACACACCCTTAAGGCTCCATATCCTACCATGAAGATGCTTGCACATCCATGTTCACAATAACCAGGAAATGCAATCAGCCTGGACGTCCATCAGCTGATGAATGGATCATGAAAATGTGGCACACACAACACACACGGTGGGATTCTATTGAGTTATAAAGGAAAATGAAATTAAGAAATTTGTAGGGGCCAGGTGGTGGTGGCTCACGCCTTTAATTCCAGCGCTCGGAAGGCAGAGGTAGGCAGATCTCTGTGAGTTCAAGTCTAGCCTGGTCTACAGAGTGAGTTCCAGGACAGCCAGGGCTACACAGAGAAACCCTGTCTTGAAAAACAAAACAATGAACAACAACAATAAAAAGAAATGTATAGGAAAATGGATGAAACTAGGAAAAAAATATGCTGAGATAACCCAGATACAGAAATATCATCACACTGTGCTTGCTCTCTCTCATCTGTGGATCCCAGCTTTGAAATTTTAGCTGTGTGTGTTTCACTTCAAGTGTCTGTAAAGGCCAGAAAGCCAGAAAGGGCACAGGAGACGGGGAGGAGAGTGACTTTAATGGGAGGAATAGTAAAACACATGATATTAAAGTAGAGGGGAGAACACAGGGGCTAAAGGTTTAAATGGGGATGGGGGCAGTGGATATGGTGAAGGGTGGGGTGCAGGTTAACCAAGACTAAGGATGTATGAAAAATCCTTATGGAAACTCACTACTTTGTAAATCTAAAAAAAAAAAAAGGGGGGGGCATTTAAATGGAGTTACTCCACATGAGGATACTGTTACTCCAAGAAGACACATGTTATTAAACAAATCCTCAGGGCAAGATGTGTGTTATGGTCAAGGAGACCTCAGACCCCCCCCCCCCCCCCCGCCCCAAACAACACAGACCATCGCTAGTACTCTTGGTTGCACACCATAACTAAATGGTGGACTCTATTGCTGAAGATTGCACGCTTTTTGGTAGCAGGATATAGAGGAGTCAACCCAGAACTGACTGGGACTACCTCCCTGCTGGCTGCCTTTCTAAGAAGGTGTCACACTGGGGAGAAAAGGATACTGGTGGTTTTACCTTTCGCCGGATCCCCGCAATACTGACCTGAAGGCAAGATGCACCCACAGATGCGGTAGTTATGCACGCACGTAATGGGGTAACCAGCCACTTCCTTATTGGACTTGAGGCCTGATACTGGAATCCTGTTCAAAAGCCCAACGCTAGGGAGGCCGTAGGCCCTTAGTAAAAAGGAACCGACCACTGCCGTTTGCCAAATGGAAATATTGTCAAACTGTTTTCTAAATATGTATGTTTGCACACATCGATCAGCACTGCTCCAGCCTCGGTCAGAGGAGCTTCTCTTTGTGGTGGACAGCAGTGAATGCGGAGACTGACCGCAGAGAGTGACCGCCCGGCGAGTGCTCAGTCTTAAACGGGACATCTATATCAACCCCTGTCCTCCCCTCCACCCTAAGGCTCGGGGATACCAAAGAAGAGAGGGCTGGACAGATGTGCGAGCTGGAGGACGGGGAGGAGTGCTGCTAAGTGCTGTCGTCTGGACACGCTGTCGTCTGGACACACCATGACCCGTGCACTCGTGAACTCACAGCAGCGGTGGTGATGTGCAGAAGATCTGAACAAGATCAGGCCAGGCTGCATTGCTGCACAGCCTGGGAAGAGACTCATGAAGCTCCACCCCCATCTTGGCAACTGACAGCTGCTGGTGGGGGCCAGTTACTTTTCTTCTGGGGTGTGGCCGCTGGTAGGCTGCCCATGCGCCAGTGGACTGTCCCACACCTATGTGCATGTAGGATGAACTAATTGGACTCAGTGAGTTAATAATAATAATAATAATAATAATAATAATAATAATAATAATAAGGACATGAAGGTGAAAAGGGAGCTTGTTTGGAAGGGGTCCAGGGAAGAGGTGTGTGTGTGTGTGTGTGTGTGTGTGTGTGTGTGTGTGTGTGTGTGTGTGTAGTGGATTTTATTAAGAAACATTGTATGCGTGCATCCAATTGTCAAAAAACTAAATACAATTTAAAAAAAAAAAAGGTCTTGAGATGGCTCTTCACAAGTTTGTAGCAGAGAAAAAGTCCCTGGGAGGGGGAAAAAAAAACATGCCCCGCCCACCAGGGGACTTGCAGAGCCCCAGATGATGAGGAAGATGGGAAGCTAGCAGGCACCAGGCACATACCCTGGGAGAGGGTAGCAAGATGCACAGGGTCACATGGAGCACAGTGGCATCGTGCTGCTCTGCACATAGAGGATGCTCCGTCAAAGTAGGAAATGGGATGGAATGGACCAATAGCTTCCCTGGTCTGCTCCAGCTGCCCACTCTCCTGTTTCCTACACCCCTCCTCTCTGCCCACCCTGCCCGGGGCTCTGAAGACCGCCACTGCTCTTATGGGGTCAGTGCGGTCCTGGGCTCCATCAGGAGCCTCTTCCTGCTCTGCCAGGTGCATCCACGGGGCCTCACGCTCTCCGTCCCCCTCCTCCTCCCTGTCCTTATCTTTCCCTTTCGTCTCCATGGAGACTCACCGCCTCGGCTCGCCTGCATCCCAGCCTCTGCCAGGGATTCTGAGCTGGGCTGGGTGGTTCATCCCTCCTCCGAAGCCCTGGTACCCGCAGCCCTGTCTCCTCCCCCTTGGGGTGAATCCACCCTCCTTTACAGCCTCTTTTTTTTCTGACCAGCTCATTTATTCTCCAGCGCTGAGAACTAGGCAGAGCCTCTGAGGAACCCATCCCCCTGCTCCACTCTCCACCTGCTCCGCTAGCCCTCTGGGTGCAAGGCTGTCCTACCGGCAAACGGTCTCGGTGGACTTCCTCTCTGAGCATCGGACCCTCTGCCATTCCAGCCTCCCATGCCGAGGCCCACTCTGTCAGTCACTGCTTTTTGTCATCGGCTTGGCAAACGGGCAAGTCTTCAAGCCCTAAAATCTGGGAAGGAGAGTTGGGGGTGGGAAGAAGCCACCTGGGAAGGGGGAGGGTGGCGGCGGCGGAAGGACCCTGGAAACCCGGCAGGATGATGAGGTCTGGATTCTGTTCTAAATCTGTCCCCTCCCCCTACTCATAGGAGAGCAAACGAAGCTTCATGGGAAACAGCAGCAACAGTTGGTGAGCCACGGGGCCTTCTGGGCTGGGATTGGTGCAGTGGGCCTGGCAGGTCAGCTGGCAGAGCTGGTCCAGGAGCACGGATCTCTGCAGTCCAGCAGGCTGGTTCCTGAGCGCTCTGCAGGGCTCTTCCCCGGGAGGAAGCACAAGGCCGGATGGGCCAGGCTGTGCAGGGAGGGACCAGGACAAGCAGGTGGGTGCTACAGATGCTCAGCTCGGAGAGTGCAAGGAATCCTCCGAGAACCTGACCATCTGTTCAGCTGCAGAATGGCGCCTGGGTGCCAGGAAGCTACCGCCTTCTCCTGACTGTCCCGGCAGCTGAGACTGTAGTTTGTCCCCCCTTGAGGAAGCTCCGCTGCAGAAAGGCTGGTGCTCTATGGGTTTCCCGAGTATTGGCCCTGGACACCTTGTAAATGAGGTAGTCATCGCTAATGACTGTCCCCAGCCCCAGCCAGGGCACTGCCAGTCTCTCCTTTGGACCTCACCCATGGCTGCATGGCTGGCATGTGCAGAGCCAGGATTCCCTGAGGGTTGCTCTCGCTTAGGATGGCCAGGACCTGGGGTACCAGGAGGTGAGGAATGGGTGGAGCTCATCCTCCAGGTGGCCCTAGGAAGCTGAGGTGGCACAGAGGAGCCTTCATCCCTAAGCTGTCAGCCCTCCAAACCCTGCACCCAACAGGCATCCAACTTTCAGATGATGCCCTATCTTCCAGGTCCCATGCATCATTCCCCAAGCTGGAGCTGGGCCTGGGACAACGTCCCTCCCCACCCCGGGAGCCGCCTACCTGCTCCATCTGTCTGGAAAGGCTTCGAGAGCCCATCTCACTGGACTGTGGCCATGACTTCTGCGTTCGGTGCTTCAGCACACATCGAATCCCGGGATGTGAGCCACCATGCTGCCCCGAGTGCCGGAAAATCTGCAAGCAAAAGAAGGGCCTCCGCAGCCTAGGGGAGAGGATGAAGCTCCTGCCTCAGCGGCCGCTGCCCCCTGCACTGCAGGTAAGGGACGTTATCTCTGCACTCAGAGATCTCTGATTAGATCCAAGACGGGGGATTAGCTTCGATCCCTATTCTAAACTGTTAGGAAGGGGCACAGGGTTCCAGTCTGGACACACTTCCAACTTGGGGTCGGTCTCATTTGGGATGCTCAGGGGACCCTTCTCTGTCCCACCCAGGAGACCTGTGCTGTGAGGGCAGAGCGGCTGCTGTTGGTGCGTATCAATGCCTCTGGAGGCCTCATCCTCAGGATGGGGGCCATAAACCGCTGTCTGAAGCATCCCCTGGCCAGGGACACACCTGTCTGTTTACTTGCTGTCCTGGGAGAGCAGCACTCAGGAAAGTCCTTCCTTCTGGACCACTTGCTCAGAGGCTTACCAGGCCTGGTGAGGGCAGGGCTGGCAGGAGGTTGCAGGGAGGCAAAGTGAGAGCCCCAGGTTGGCTCTGGGAGGGAAGCATCTCAGGGGATGCAGAATGGACCGCCTGAGACCTTCTTCTCCATCTGCAGGAATCAGGTGACAGTGGCAGGCCCAGAACAGAGGGGTCCCTGCCTGGGGTCAGATGGGGTGCCAATGGCCTTACCAGGGGCATCTGGATGTGGAGTCATCCCTTTCTGCTGGGAAAAGAAGGGAAGAAGGTACGGGAGAAGAGCAGATGGAAGTCAGCATGGATCAAGGAAGGAAACTAACCGGATGATACAGGGTGGAGGGATGGAGGGGAGAGAGGGAAGAGAGGATTGAGAAGACATCTCCGGGGTAAGGACAGAGAAAGGAGCTGGGCAGAACAAGGCAGGCCTAACCCCTTGATTTGTGTCCTCGCTAGGTGGCTGTGTTCTTAGTGGACACAGGAGACGTCATGAGCCCAGAACTGAGCAGGGAAACAAGGGTCAAGCTCTGCGCTCTCACCATGATGCTCAGCTCCTACCAGGTGAGAGAGGTGCTCGGGTGGGTTGGCCACCCTGCACACCATTCCCCAGGGTGGCACACACACACCCCTGCACACATTCCCCAGGATGGCACACACACACACCTGCACACCATTCCCCAGGGTGGCACACACACACCCCTGCACACATTCCCCAGGGTGGCACACCCCCCCCCCTGCACACCATTCCCCAGGGCGGCACACACACACACACACCCCTGCACACCATTCCCCAGGGTGGCACACACACACACCCCTGCACACCATTCCCCAGGGTGGCACACACACACACCCCTGCACACCATTCCCCAGGGTAGCACACACACACCCCTGCACACATTCCCCAGGGTGGCACACACACACCCCTGCACACCATTCCCCAGGGTGGCACACACACACTTCTGCACACCATTTCCTAGCTCAGCTTCCTCAGAACTGAGAACTTTGCAGATTTGAGTGTCTGGGGTTCATGCAAGTTCTGGAAGGTGCTTCTGGAAAGAGGAAGATGTTCCTAGGGAAGGTGGGCAGATGGGTTACTCTAAAGGTGGGACGATAGGCCTCAGGGACAGCCGGAGGCCCGCAGGACCACAAAACTCTCCAGGTCTGCCAGAAGATGGCTCGCACCTAGGCTGAAAGGCTCAGGCCTGACTGGGCCTGTGTTCTGGGATAAAGGCCGCTCAGGAGCTCCTCACAGAACCCTTCCTACTTCTGCAAATCTTCTTGCCTCTTCCTGTTTTCCTCCATTCCAGATTCTGAACACCTCCCAAGAGCTGAAGGACGCAGACCTGGGCTATCTAGAGGTGAGGCAGCCTCTGGTGTTGAAGCTGGCACACTCTGACCACAAGGCAGTCAAAGGGAACGCACGCCTTCCCATTCAGGCTTAGGATTTTATGACACTTGAACTGGCTTAGTGGTCTTCAGGACAGATAGTTGAGCATGAGGTGCCTGGTTTGGGGAGAGGTAAGGGAATCTTCAAGCCGGAAGCAGGAAGCTTGGCTCCCCTAGTGGTCCAGGGTGACTAGAGAGAAGGCTTGGGAGGCAGACTGTAGCTCTTGGAGTAGCCCAACCCGAAAACTCTCTGTACTCTTTCCCAGATGTTCGTTCACGTGGCGGAGGTGATGGGCAAGCATTATGGGATGGTGCCAATCCAGGTGAGACACCTCTTTCTGGACTTGTCAGTCCAGATACTGCCAATCCCAGCTTCTGGAGTCAGGATCCCTTTCTCTTCCAGCATCTGGACCTCTTAGTTCGTGACTCTTCCCATCACAATAAGTCAGGGCCAGGGCACGTGGGTGACATACTCCAGGTAAGAAGTGCAGAGGGAAGAGACCGATGCCAGGGCAGCAGGTGAGGGAGGCTGGGTGGCGTCCCATAAGTGTGTCTACGGGCAGAGGCTGCTCCCTTGCCTCAGAACTCTCCACAATCCATCTTTCAGAAGCTGTCCGGCAAATACCCCAAGGTCCAGGAGCTGCTCCTAGGGAAACGGGCCCGCTGTTACCTCCTGCCTGCTCCTGAGAGGCAGTGGGTAAACAAAGGCCAAGCAAGCCCAGGAGGCAGTAAGTGTTCCAGGGGTGGAGACCTCCCTGACATTGCTTCCCAGCTTTGGCCCAGTCTCTCCCAGCCCCAGGCTCCTCAGCCCGAGGAATCTCTTTCTCAGACACAGAAGATGACTTCTCCCACCTCTTCCGGGCCTACATCTCAGATGTGCTGAGCACAGCACCCCAGCATGCCAAGAGCCGCTGCCAGGGCTACTGGAGTGAGGGGCGTGCCATGGCCAGGGGGGACAGACGCCTGCTCACAGGGCAGCAGCTGGCGCAGGAGATCAAGGTGTGGAAACTTCCTGGGGACCCTGGCCTCCGCAGCAGCCGGCAGGTGTGCTTGCTTTCCCTGACCTGGGTGTGATGTCTCTGCAGAACCTCTCAGGCTGGATGGGGAAAACCGGGCCCAGTTTCAGCTCTCCAGATGAGGTAAGGAGCTCCTCCCCTCGGGGAGGATGGGGTCAAGGAGAGAGATCTGGGGTAAGGGTCTGCATACCCTGGGAGTGGAGATGAGGAACCGGTAGTATTCTGGCTGAGGAGGAAAGAGGGAGGCAGCTTGGGTTTTCCCATGGACAGATGGCTGCTCAGCTTCATGACCTGAGGAAAGTGGAAGCTGCCAAGAAGGAGTTTGAGGAATACGTGAGGCAGCAGGTGAGCCCCAGGGTCTGCAGGGGAGGCTGCGCCAGAGAGGATGCCTGGGTGCCCAGTTGGACCACCTCCTTCCCTTCCCACTGCCCCAGGATATGGCCACTAAGCGCATCTTCTCTGCGCTCCGAGTCCTGCCTGACACCATGCGGAACCTCCTCTCGACCCAGAAGGATGCCATCTTGGCCCGTCATGGTGTGGCCTTGTTGTGCAAGGAGAGAGAGCAGACCCTCGAGGCCCTGGAAGCCGAGCTGCAGGCGGAGGCCAAGGCCTTCATGGACTCCTACACCATGCGCTTCTGTGGCCACCTGGCCGCCGTCGGGGGCGCTGTAGGTGCTGGGCTCATGGGCCTGGCAGGGGGCGTGGTGGGTGCAGGCATGGCAGCAGCCGCATTGGCTGCGGAGGCTGGGATGGTGGCCGCTGGGGCAGCGGTGGGGGCCACTGGGGCTGCTGTAGTTGGGGGTGGGGTGGGTGCTGGCCTGGCTGCTACCGTGGGCTGCATGGAGAAAGAGGAAGATGAGAGGGTCCCGGGGGGAGACCGAGAACCCCTTCTCCAGGAAGAGTAACAGCTAGGAGACGCTGAAGGGCGAAAGAGATGAAGGGCAAGGGGAAGGATGTGGCCATGCCAGGGATTCGGAGGGGACCACATCATAGTGGCCCTGTTGAGTGCCCCATGTCATTCACTGACTGAGCTGGGGGTTTTAAGCTGAGTCCAGGAACCTGGCGAGGCTTTCTGGCCAGGAGGCTGTGCTTGGGGTGCAGTAGACAGGGCGTGAAGCCTGTTTCTGGCTGTGGATAATTGCTACTCACTGGAGCCCAGGATCTCCCACCATAAATAAGGCTCCACTCGCCCCACCCTACTCCAGTTTATTTCCCCCGGAGGGCCCTGTCCTTTTTACAGTTGGGACAGGTCCCAGGATGACTGACTTTGGAGCTGGGGGCTCTGACAGGGAGGAAGAGGACGGACCACAGGACAGAGATGGGTACTGACGGACTGAGGGAAGTAACCCTGGAGCAGCGACTTGGTCCCAAAACTGCTCCAGAAGGACAGGCGGGGCCGGCCTCACTGCTCTTCAGCTGGGTGTCCAGATGTGTGTCCTGAACCGCCCCGTACCCCAGTCTCCTGCAGTCCTCCTGGGCCTGGGCCCCATGCCAAACCCATTTGGATGGATCAAGGCGGATTAAATGCCAAAGAACCACACCTCTGATTGCAGTCTGCTAAGGCAGTCGACCAGGTTCTGCCAGCGTCTGGTAGGGGAAAACAGAGGAAATGAGTTCAGTCCTTAAACAAGGCCCCTCTCCCTTGAGCTGTGGGCCCTCTGTGCCACGTTGTAAGGCCTCCTTGATGTAGCTCTTCACAACAAGCCCCCAGGGAGTCTCTCTCTGGGGGGGATGGAAATTTCTAAGGAGACCTCTGGGCTATTAAACTGTAAAGGATGTTGGGCACACGACCCTTTATTTTATATAAGAATAAAATGTGTGTGTGAATGGCAGCTTCTCAGTGTGTAATTGGAATGAGAATTTGGGGTGGGAGGAAATGACAAAGAGTTCCATTATCAGCGCGTGGTGGTGGGGACAGGGACACTGAAATTGGAAGTGATCTGAGGAGTACCATGCCCTGGCTTGGTGGTGGCAGGAGGCTTTGGCCAAGGGCCAAGTACACAGCCACCTTTGCAGGCTCGTCTGCAAGGACTTTGGGTCCAGTCTTCGTGTTGGTCCCCCGAGAAGCTGACTTTGCGGACTCCATCAATAGGGAGCCGACATCTCTGTTCCAGCAGGAGACAAAAGAGGCATGCCAGGGAGGCCTCGGTCAGACTGGAAAAAAAGAGAAGCCAGGATCCATTGTGCAGGGCTAGCCAGTGGGTTACACTGGATTCTCCCTCGAGTCACACCTCCAATCTCAGAATTGCAACATGCTCGCTCTGTCCAAACCCTGCATCTCACAGATGCAAAACCAAGACAGAACCTCAAATAATAAATAAATAAACCTCAAATAGTCCAGCTGGCTAGTGGAGAAACAGGGGCTCTGACATCCAGGCTGGCGTTAATATACAGACATTGGAAGATGTGCTGTTAAGGGCTTTGCTGAAATCAAGATGTTTCTTTCTGGATGCTTCTGCCGGCAGGCATGTCCAGCTCAGGGAAATTTTGAGGGGCGGCAGAGGACAGGGTCTGGGACTGGAGGATAAAATACCCAATGTAGGAAAATCCCAGAGCTGGGAAGGAGGATGGGTGGGGTAGGGGCAAGTGAGGATGACCCTTTTTGGAAGCTGGGCCCTGCGTGGGGACAGGGACTAGACAGTGTGTGGTGTTTGCACAGCAAGGTTTTCTGGGAGCGCCATAGCGTCCTCCTCTGTCATCTGGTAGACACATGAGCTGCAAAGCCTTCCAGAGATTGGGGTTGGCAGGCTCAGGACATAAGGGCCTCTGAGGACTGAGAAGGCGGTGTTGTGTGGTGAGGAGCCCCCTCCCACAGGAACTTGGAGGAAACTCCAAGGTCAACCTCTTTGTACTCACTGAACAGATGGGAGAAGCTAGCTCCGCTAAAGAGGCTTCTGTGGGAAAATGAATATTCCAAGGCATTTGTCTTGTGCCTTCTATTTTTCAAAGCATTCCCAAACATCTTCCTTAAGCTTGGAAACCATCAGTAGGAACAATACCCATTTGTGTAGAGGAGGACCCAGAAGCCCAGAGGAATGGTGTGTCTTGGCGTCAGCTCAGACAGCTAGTGACAGACAAACCAGGACTTGAACCCAAGACCTCTGGTGTCAGACCCCTTGTTCTACAGAGCCCTCACACTTACCAGTCTCTCCAGACCCCCAGGCAGCCTTATGATTCTCACCCCAATTAGGTGGCTTCTGAGTGTGTGTGATTCCATTTCTTCATTCCTATGGTAAAACACCTGAAGCCAAGCACGTTATTTAACTTACAGTTTTGGAGGTCCAAGGGTGTGTGCTAGCATCAGCTTGGCTCTGGTGAAAATCTTGTGGTGCTTGGCATAGTGTGGGAGGAGGGTGTATGAGAGGGAGTCCCCATGTGCCAAGACAGGAAGCCAGAGAGAGAGAGGAGGGGGAAGGGGAAGGGGGAGAGGGAGAGGGAGAAGAGGTTTCATAAGAACTTCCACTGAGGGTTGGCTCCCTAGTGACCTGACCTAGGCCCCATCTCTTAAAGGTCTGACAAAGACCAAGTATCCCATTGACCAGCTCTGAGATACCTTTAAACGACACCCCAAACTAGTACTGGGTTTTCAGCATTGGTTCTGGGATCCACCAGACAGTAACCCAGGCCTCCAAGATTCTCTTGTCATAGGTCTCCAGGTTAGAGATTGCTGTTATACCTTGCAGGCCCTAATTCTGAATTTCCCTAGTCTTGAAGATGGAGGGTCCACAAGACACAGGGAGCTGCATCCTGAAGCCCCATCCCACTGCCCTGCAGGAAGCCACACCATGAGCCCGAATAAACGCTGACTGCCTTGAGTGCATGAGGCCCCGAGCTCATTTGTGGCTTGGTGCTGCTTTCCTAACCAAGGAATGGACCGTGCTCTTTGGAATGGGGTGTCGGGGTGTCGCTGTAAGACACTCTGACAAACGCTAGTTGGCTGGTGAGCGATAAGGAAACACGGCTCCTGTCATGACAAACCATTTGCTAACTGCCCACCTAGGAACTTGAAATCTAGAAATCCTGTGGTAGAGGAAGGAGTTTTTTAAAAAGTGAAGCCCCTTGCCAACCCAGAATACTCTCTCCACCAGTGCGGAAAAAGAAGGGAGGCGATTCTCTTCTCACACACATTCAGTGCACAGGCCTGATCGCATGTGATCTGGCAATGACAATACAGAGACCAAAAGAAACCCTACCCGTGCTGTGCTTTTGTGGCCATTACATGAACAGACAGCTGAGAGGACAAGACCGGCTTTGCTCATGGTCTCAGAGGGCCTGGTTCATGGTCACTTGGTCCTGTGTGTTGGGCAGAGAGCCCATGGTGACAGGCCCAATGTGCACGACAGCTGTTTGCTTCATGGCCAACCAAGCAAGAAAAGAGGGTACTGTGTATTGCTGGCTTCCTCTCCCTGCCCCATTTTATTATATCTGGGACCTTAGCCCATGGGATGGTCCATCCACATTGAGAGTGGGTCTTTCTCCCTCACTTAAAACTCCCTGAAAGGCCTTTACAGAGATGTGCTTTACTTCTGGCTGATTCTAAACCTAGATAAGTTGACAAAGATGGTCACCCATTACACACTCATCTATATGGCCAGGCAGATGCAGTCTATGGCCCGGGCATGCTCATGGATGAGGCATGAGGACTCTGCAGCATCATTCACTATGGGAACTTTCACAGTTTCCCGTAAGTTTACCTGGGAAGCAGCTGTCAGAGCACCTAGCTGAAATGCCCTGCTGACAGAGTGATTGCATGCTGGAACCGCATGGCCCTGGGACACGCAGAAAGACAGTCCTGGGTGAGCTGTTTATTTATCCTTTAAACAGAGTTGTTAAGTGTCAAAGCCTTGCACATTTGTATGATAAACTAAGTAAGTGCCCTTTGTTTCCAAAGCCACGCTCGCCTGTCCCTGTCCCTAACAAGGACTGTACCTAGCAAGTCTTTACATGCTGCATCTCTCCTGGGAATAAGTTGTCAGTGAGCATGCTTCTATGGCCCAACACTGGCAGTACAGAAATACAAAGCAATGTTAGTAAATAATGTGCTGACTTTTAATACATTGTAAGTCTTTTTCTTTTCTTTTTTTTTTTTGGTTTTTCGAGACAGGGTTTCTCTGTGTAGCTTTGCGCCTTTTCCTGGAACTCACTTGGTAGCCCAGGCTGGCCTCGAACTCACAGAGATCCGCCTGGCTCTGCCTCCCGAGTGCTGGGATTAAAGGCGTGCGCCACCACCACCCGGCTTCTTTTTTGGTTTTTCGAGATAGAGTTTCTCCGTGTAGTTGTGGTGCCTGTCCTGGATCTTGCTCTGTAGACCAGGCTGGCCTCAAACTCACAGATATCCACCTGGCTTTGCCTCCCAAGTGCTGGGATTAAAGGTGTGCGCCACTGCCGCCCAGCTAAATTGTGAATCTTAAAGTAATTGAAATCATGAATTCAAGTCAGACAGGTTAGAGTTTGGACCAATGTCTCCAAAGGCCCATGTGTTAAAGGCTTGTTTCTAGTCTCATGGTATTATTGAAAGGACTTTAAGGCACGGGATCCAGCGGGAGGAAGTTAGGTCATTGAGATGTGCCCTCGAAGGGGATACTGGGACCCCAGCCCCTTCCCTCTTTGCTTCCCTGCCACTGTGAGGTGGGACGCTTGCACACACGCCATGACATACTGCCTCACCATGGGCCCGAGAGCAGTGGGGCCAAGCTCTCACTAAAGCCCCGAACCCTGAGCCCTGATGAAGCTTTCGTCTTAATAAGGTGATTATCTCAAGTTGTCATGGTAATGGAAAAGCAATCACACAGGCCACTGAGGCTAGCTATGACAGTAACCGAGGTTTTATTAGAATGGCCCACTATCAGCCTAGAGAACACAGAGCTGAAGTCCCGGTGGGAACCCCACAGTCCTCCTGTGGAGCTGACTTGTGTGGAAGGCACGAACTCAGTTGGATTATTCTTTTCCTTTGATGGTCACATCAGAACACTTAAGGAGCCCTCCCCACGTGGGGACAGCTTGCTTTCCTCCAGAACACCTTTCTGCACACAAAATCTCTGGATTGGTTGATGGGGTGGTAGGCTCCCAAGAGGACATTTCTAGGTCCTTCTGATTTTATATGTCAAGCTTTGCAGGGAAGAGAGAAGTCCTTTAAAGCGCTGAACACGATATGAGAGAATTGGGCTAAATTGGGCACAGAACATGGTCTCAGCCCACATCCATAGCCTGTCAGACAAGCACTCAAAGGAGAGTGCAATGTTTGCCTGTGGGGTGCCTCTCATCTCTAGCAAGGCAAGCGGTGGAGTGTGAGCATCCTTCCCAGGAAGAGCACCGGATGGACCCGTGGAGTCTGATTCATCTGTTCTACTTAAGCGGATGACGAGCGTGTACAGGAGCATCTGACACAACCCGCCTCATTCCTGAACGACAGTGCCCTCAGGACCCTGGGCATCCTCTACACCACAAGGAGACCTAATCTCTTGCCTGTCATAGCTTTGCTCCCACGGAGTCCACCTAGCCCCAGGTCCCTGGCCAAGGAAGGGGCAGAGGAGAGTCTTTTGTAGCACCTTGTGCTAAGAACCCCTGCAGGTCAGGAACCCTGCTGACAGGCATCAGGCCGCTTAGCACTGTCATTGGCTGGGGAGAGGGGTATTGAGAAGGGATCTCCCTCTTTAGCCCAAGCTGGACTGGAACTCACTGTGTAGCCTAGGCTCACCTTGAACTCTTGGCGATCCTCCTTCTTTGGCTTCCCAAATGCTGAGGTTACAGACACGAGCCTCCATGCCTGGCCTCTAACACATCTTGGCTATGCCACCTGCCCCAACAGTGAGGGTGCTTGAAACCCCCTCCC